AAGTGCAAAATACTTTATAATATTTTATGTTAGATCTTATAAATTCGATCTATTCATACAGCACGTAAATTCGATAACGATAAATAGTTTAGAGTAGACGTATACGTTCGATGTGATATTTCAATATGGAATTAATGACGAGAGGAAAGACATGAACGTTTAACTTTTACCGAAGTGAAAATTGTCACATTGGTGAGCCCGAGGGGAGAACACGAGCTCGGAGAATGTCCCAGATTTTTCTTAACACCCGAGCGTAAGAGCGTTCGATGAAATATCGACGGTATGCAAGTTGCACTCGCATACAGGTGCAGTATCTGTGTCCGAGAGAGCTCGTCACGGTCGAGTGAATGCGAGCACCGTGAACGGACACAGGGCCACGTGTTCCGCGTACCACGAGAAATGGAAAACGGCTCTGTACATGTATCTGTTGAATCAAGCCTGCTTTGGCTTTCGGTTTCTTCTAGTTCCCTTCTTCTCCTTTTGTAGAAAGTATAGGTTCGCTTGGATTTAGGAGATTGGTTTTAATCCTCGGAGATGCAGCACAGGTTATTACCGTTCCTTTTATTTCTATAGAAATTCAATGAGTAGCTGTTTGCTCAGTTTGTTCTTTGAGATGCTTATTATCTGTTTGAGAAAAGACTCGTGGAATAATAACGATGAAACAATCACTAATGGCCCGGAATAGAGGAGAGCACGGCGTTTCTGACTAGTACAGATTGATCTACTTAAAGAAGTAATGTTTCCTCCCAGTAAGACTAGAAAGTTTTATTTAATCTCCTGGAATAAAATGATTCTTTTGTTATCTTTAACTGAGGCATTCGTTCATTATGAATCTGATTAGAAGATACAATATCTGATGTGACCTTCTTAATGCTCGTAGATCATTTCATAATCTTTGAAAAACAGTTTCCTCGCTTCGGATCGGCGAATCGCGATAATTTTAAGTTCCAATCGAACCAATGATTCCGTAATCGAGAATATTTCCTGTTTCGATTCCTTTCCTGGACAATGTCTCGTGTTCGTAAAGGTGGAACCGAGCCGCCGCGTACCTATCGGATGTTGCGTGTATGCAGATACACAGACACGTAGTCAGGGACTATAAATGCGGGAGGCCTTTCACATTCCGGAGAAAATTTGCTCGACGACATTTTACGCTTTTAGCAGGCAGGGAAAAGTTTCGTCCGAATGATATACATCTAGCTGAACGGCGAACCGATTACAAGTGTCGCGTTTCCCGTCGTAAATTAATGAGAAAACGTGCGCTCGCGGTGACAAAATCGTACCGTCGAGAAGAGCTCGCGTCTCTACCTGCACCGAACTTCCCCCCCCCCCTCCTTTTTCGAAGCGATCGATCCCACGGAATGGATCCGCGTATGCAAAACGCCGTTCTCTGTTTCTATCCGATGCAATTAAGTAAACGCGCCCGCGGACAAGAACTTTGTTTCATTTTCTCCTTGCACGCTTTCTCGTTTTCACTCCGGCCGTGTGTGTTGCACAGGCTCGCTTAAATAACAAGAACGGCTTTATTCTTTTTATTCTTCGGTCATCGTAATTGACCTACTCTAAACGTATGCAACGAGAGTCGAAATAGAATTTATGCTAATGGATAATGCAAACGGCCAGGCAATAATTTACTTAACGATTTCTGTGAAGTGGGAAAAATATATTTTATCTGGACGAACGTGTCACATTTTTTTAACGCTTCGCGTTTTGGCAGCTGATCAGAAAATTAACGCCACGGTAGGTCGATTGACGTAAGGAAAATCGAAGTCTCCCTCCCAGACGCGGTCAGCTGAGAAGGAACAGCGTACGCGTCGCGGCCGATTCCGAGTCGTGGCCACAGTATCGTTACACAGCTAATTGCGGTATAAACAGCGAAGTTTACGAGGCACCGGCTGCACCGGCTGGCAACGATCGACAAACATTAGCCGCCATTAACGAAGATATAAGGCCGTGGTATTGATGCGTCTGCAATGTCGAGATCCAGCGACGTCAACCGCGAGAGAGAAAGAAGAGGACCTGACTAAAACGTTAAGATCGTCGGCCCGTAATCGAACACCTGACGCGAACATTCCAGAAAATTGGTCCCCAGATAGCGGCGAGCATAATGCTAATGGATGGTTATTAATTTGGCCGTAGCGAATATACATTTTAACTAATCTTGAGGATATCGCGCGGAGGTGGGCACGACGAGAACGAAAGGGTTGGAAAGCTCGGCCCGTTCTCCATCGACCAGTTCTGTTCATCCGGAAACTACGACGACTGGGTTCTCGATAGCATCGATAAACGACAATGTTAATGTCTGGTGTACACTCTGTCCCGGTGAATTCCCTCGCGGAATTGCGTACATGAATTTAGGTCTAAGATGTAGTCGTTGAAGAAAGGGTTAAGTCGTCGGATTCTTGAAATTCAAGAGAAAATCGAGCGGAGTTGCTATCAAGAACGTACAGAGATCTGTGAAATTAGCAAGAGTTTCGCTTTCCATTTTTTTATTTCAACAGACGAGACGCACTTAACCCAAATATTCGCATCGATTATTTCAATTGCTACGGAGCGGCGCGACTATCAATAACCGTTTCGTGAAAGGATCGGCCGATCATAAAGCGTGGAATTTTAATGACACGCAGCGAAAGAGAGACCACGCGGGACGAAAGGGTCCACGCGTCGCGGCGACACGACATTGGCGCGCGGCGCGCACATTTGAAGATTGCAGAATCCTATAAAGCTTTGGCGCATCACAACATTTTATAAAACCGATTGCCCGTTATCTCAAGATAGCAGCTTCAAGCCGCTTCTTCGTTTTGCCACGGGCGTATGTTATTCTGGAATTCGAAGCGCGTAAGCGTTTACGCTTTGCCAGGTCGACGAAAGGTGAACCTTCTACAAAATGTAACGTCGACGATGAAGTTTCCTAGTGTTCTCAGCTTTCGTTGATCCTTTAGCCTCGCGGAATTTCTGTCCTTTAGCAAGATTTCTAATTTTCGTTCGTTAATGGACAAAAGTGCGAGAGTATCGCGAAGGCTGAGGATCAAGGTTGTTACACTTGAAACATTAAACTGAAAATCTCCAGCGTTTGTAGCAACGATTCGTAATCCTCGAACCTTTTTAAGATGTAACAAAATCCCAAAGTATCTGCAGATAGATTAAGATAAAACAGTCTCTGCCTTCTAAGGTTTTCGTACGTTCCAATTGGCAGAATTAATACACAATAGTACATGTCGAATAAGGTCGTATACAATTCCCTGTTAAAATTGTTGACGGGAAACATTGTTCCATGTTGTACTATCATTCCATTGATAATCTTCGAGGGAACCTATGATTAAATGACTTAAAGATAACTGAAAAGGGAAGGGGAACGACGTCGTTGCCGCTGCTAACGACGACGTTTAGCCTGAAAGGAGGCGCGCTTGTTTCGAAGGGATCAAAAGCGTTACGTGTGCAACGCTCGTCAGCCGCGTTCTAAAAGCCGCGAAAATTCGTGGCGACGTGAAACATTTTTTTTTTTCCTCTCCCCTCTGGTGTTCTTCGTTATTCTTTCATTTATTGTCCCCCTTTCTCTCTTACCCACGACTAGAGACCGTAGCCTCTGCGTTAACCGCGCTTAGGAAGGGTGAAGGAGGACAGCTGTCGGGCGAACGAAGACAATTATGTATATATGTGTGCGACACCTTATTATAATCGACCCTCCACCTCGTTCTTCTCTCTTTCTTCTTCTTCTTATTCTTCGCTCTCTTTCTCCCCAGCTCTTCCCGTGTGTATCGTTTAAAGCAGCTGGAACGTCAGCAACGCCGACGCATAATAAGGGAGGAAAGAAAGAGAAGAGAACGCGGCGCGGTGCGAGACGGCGGTGGTTGAATATAGGATTCTACACGGTCCCTCTGTTACACCGGCCTAACCTCATTTAGTTAGAAAGTGTTTGCGCGACGAGGAACCACCGCCGCGAGATTTAATTGGAAACGCCTCGCGTCTATCGCGACCGCGTTCAAACCCATAGCCTCAGAGGAGAACGTCATACTCCGAGCCCTCGGCCGCGGCCGTAATTGGTCGCCTTTCTCGCTCCATCCAGGATTTTCCGAGGGACAGGAGGGGAAAACCCGGCGGCGGCAGCAGCAGCAGCCGCCACCCTCATCCCTGATGATAAATTTGTATATTCGGACTAATGGCGCGACGCGGCGAGCTTCGGGGATTTCGCGACGCTGCTCCATGCGTCTGATGAATCCGTTGGATTTCGAATGGGAGAAAAAACCGTACATGTGCTGTGCAGCGAGCGTGTAAATAGGAGAATTCACTGTGCAAAGTTTATGTTAAAAATGGAACTGAAAAACCATTTCACCATTTACTCGTCCCGTGAAGCACGTACTTCGAAATAATATAGAAAAATGATGGGATCAATAATAGATTTATCTATAAGAGCACCGGAGATTCTTAAAACTAATGTTCTAGCAACAAAATGAATTTCGTTTGACTCGATGGAAAAGGCCGTAATCAGTCGTTTTTATAATGCCTCACGTCCAATACCTATACGCCATTATCATGCGCGTCTACTTATGTTTTTGCGAAATATCAGTTTTCCGTCAACATCATTGAATCCGTAATGCTCCCGCCGGCATAAATCTGGACTCGTTAGTGTAACCAGCTACACGTATAACTCAATGAAACGTTAATGAACGTAGAAATATTCATTTCCATGAACAAAGAGAGGAACCTCGCAATTATTGGAGCGCCGTTTCGCTTTTACCCGTTCCTCCCCACAATCAATCTTGCCTTCCCTCGTCATTTAGCATCTCCGGTATCGCTGCAAGTGTCCGAGAACAAAAAATGAACTAAAAAGGATCCTAGTTGTCGCGAGATATTCATTAATTCTTAAAGCTTTAGAATGTATTTATGTTTCATACGGTTTTCGTTGTACATAAATTAGAATCAAATTTAAACTTTTTTACGATAATATTTATTTCGCGTAATAGTCGGATAATCAAGACAATGAACTTGGATTGTTTCAGGATGTTTGGAAGCAGTGGTGCTTGCGCGGGCTGCGGTAACGCGATACCTGCCAGCGAGTTGGTAATGAGGGCGGGTGGTTCGGTGTTTCACCAGAAATGTTTCACGTGTAGCAAATGCGGCAGCCAACTCGTATCCGGCGATAGGTAAGATCACGATCTGATCAATCAATTACCATTTATCCGATGATTGGGTCTTCAACGCTGGAACTATCGACTTCCTTTTATACATATATGCATTTCTCTATCCAATACCAGTCATTATGACTGGTTTGGTAGTTCTAGTGTTAATTGATAGAAAAGTAACGAGTGAAATCGAGCCAATTAGAAACTGTATACGGTGGTGGGTCTGTGGTTCAGTAAAGTCTTAAATTGTAGTAATCCCTTGAGAAATAATTACAGAGTCAATAAGAAATATCACACACAATAACAAACTGAAATTATTTAGTTAAAAGGGATAATTTAACAAAAATTACTTCTTATTGTTGCAGGTACTATCTGTTATCGGGTTCACCGGTCTGCGAAACGGACTGGCATAAAATCGTGAAGTCGTCGAGCGTCGCCGCAGCGGCAGCGGCGGCGGCAGCCGGTAACGGTGGCGCACCGGTAAGAAAAGGTAAGGTCGGTCGACCGCGAAGGAGTCGCGAATGAGGCGGCAACCCGGTCGGTCGCCCGAAGAAGGTTCAAGCCTCTCCACAGCCGACGCCCGCCGCCGTCGTACCGTCACAGGTAGACGTCGTGGACGTCGCCGTCGGGGGGGATCCCTATTCGCCGCCTCCGCCGGGTCATCAGCAGTACCACCATCATCATCATCACCATCACCACCATCATCAGATGGGCCTAGCGCATCCGGGGCTGGGGGTACAGCAAACGCACCTGCAGGCGTCCACTTATCAGGAGTGGTCTCCGTGGACGCAGGACACCTGCGATTGAACCTGATCCTTTCGTCGATGCGTTGACAAGATCAGAGATGCGATCTTCAACTTGTCTCGGTAGCCGCCGGACCTCCTCCTCCTGCTGGATGACGAAAGGAGACGATCCTTCGTCACGGCATATCGTGGTCCCGATTTCAAATGATCGGATTCAAGAAGAATCGGTGTAGTTTCCTCTGATCGCGATTTTTCGAACGAACAGACAATAGACTGTGAACGTTTTTGCCTTTGTTGATAACGCTGAGTGGCTGTGTGCACGCGAGAGGAGACAATCGTCCTGAAGATACGATGGTGAACCGAGTTACTTATGACTAGACCGCGTTTACACGTGTCCTTAAGAACTCCGAAATCTAGGGAGAGAATATGTTTCTTGTTCGTCCTTCGACCGATGTGTCCCGGCCGATCGGGCACGTCCTCGTATTGGCGTTTCCGCCACGTGAAGATTCGTGCGCGCGTGGTCGTCAGCTCCGATTCTCTCGGTGGTGAAGAGCGCGCGAAACGAGCGCGTACAGCCACGCGCGAATACGCTGTACGCATCTTCTCAATTGGTCTCACCCCCTAATCGATAATCTTTGCTCAATCACTGGCAATCGAGGATAATTGAAGCGTTTGCGTGCACGAACGCGCATGTATCGTCGCCGACAATCGCGTCCAAACGATTAATTTTAAAATATAAGTTCAAGTTCTATTTTATTCACCAATATTAGTTTAATCGGACTTTAATTCTTAAGACGAATAGAATATTTTTATTATTCTGATTGACATATTACTTTATTCTAAGTTTTGATAACCAAATTCTGCTAGACGTAACGTAATGTTTTACTTAATAAAGATCTGATTAGTAGGAAAAATCTCGTGACGTTGATAAAAAGGAACTCAAACAATTTATCTGAACCGACAACCCTTGGAGAATTATTTTTCTTTCAAAATCACTGGTCCCCTTCTCTTTCGCCCCTCTCCCCGTAAACTCATTAAGCGCTCCTTGTTCTCGCGATCGTTAATCGAGTCTCGGTCGGGAATTAAAGTCGACACCGAGGTGAAATCGTCGAACCAGCGAAATTATCATTCGAATCTTGTTAACGGTGCTGTGCCCTCGTAGTCTGGCTAGTTTTTTCTCGTCCATCTGATTCAGGTTCTGTAAAAGCGGACATGGTCTCCATCAAAAACGCAAATTTCATTTAACATTTAACACCGCGTTCACATCCTCGTATTGTACATGTGTACATTAAAAATACTAAATGGAGAATCACGAAAATTTGCCCATTCGAATCACAATCAGCAACAAAATCGGTGTTTGTTTGATCAAAGAGAAAAATGGTACGATGAGAAAGATCGAATTTAAGATCGATTAGAAAATGATTGAAACTTTGTCGGGGACGAGAACACGAGCGTCGGTGCACGGGAACGCTCCTGGCGATGGATTGAAGCGTATAACAATACTTTTTCTAAGTGACAGGGTTTCGACATTCGCAATAAACACTTAAATGTATAATCGTGAACACGTTACAATGTATCTACTATCGTCCGAGCCCGTCGTCGGCTACCAAAAACCCTCTTACTGAAACTTGTACAAAGCATCTCCTACCCTTCCCATCGAGACGTGGAAAAATAACGAGGGTAAACGGAAACGACACGGGCTCGGGCACGTTCGAAGCTCAATGCGAAACTAAAGACACATGTTTTGGGTGTAAATCACGCGGAAACGGTGAGCCCGATTCGCTTTATGGCAATCATACCTAATTCCTCATCCACTAAACATTGTTTTAGCAAGCCAATCGCAATCGTTTCTAATATAGATGTTGGAAATATTTGTGTAACATAGATTAATAAGGACAGGAAATAATAATAGTTACAATGTTAATCAACACTTTCCTTCGAAATTTGCTACATCAATGTATTATGAAATCTCTCCCAGACTCATTTTTCAACAACTCAAACTCGTTCATTTCCTAACCCAAGCGTTCTTTATTTGTGGCTCGATATTGTAATAAGAAAGCAATAGGATAACGATATAAGAAACCCATAAAGCGACCGGGTTCCGTGGCATGCAACCGATCGTTACCCGTTTACCCGTCTCGTTCTTAGCGAAACTTTTGTCTCTCAGAACGCCGCCGCGCGCTTACGAGGACTCGACGCGAGTACGAGAGAGTGAGAATGAGAGTGAGAGAAAGAGAGAGAGAGAGAGAGAGAGAGAGAGAGATCTGATGCGAGAAATGAAAAGAGAAGCGGACCGGCGACGATCTTGACGTCGATCGCTCGATCGCGACGGTGCTCGACGAGAGGGATCCAAGGGAATGAAGCGTTTCGTTCCCTCGCCGATTTTTGCGAGTCGATATACAATCTCTTCGATTTCTGCCGCGCGGCGATCCTTCGGTCCATCGCGTCGCTTAATAAGAAAAGCAAGAAAACTATCGTACGTGGACGTAGAAAGGAGAACGCTCGACCGAACGAAGGGAGTCGCGCCGACTCGGATCGTGTAATTTAATCTTGTACATAGGGTACATTTTGTATATTGTTAAAAGTTTGTGTGATATAAATGGTTATGTATTTACTATTAAATGCAGCGACGGGGCTACGCACGTCCGTGGCGATCACGCGTGCGATGGACAGCGCCGACCATCGCCACTGGATGTATTTAATCAGATTTTTGTCCAAACGCATTTAGACTGATCGAGAATATGGAGCAAGAGTAAAAACGTTGATTTGTTAGCGTGGAGCATTAATGAATTCGTTTAATGAGGACTATTCGCTTGCTGCAATAATGATAAGTCTTCAAACATCGTCTTTGAGTTTTTGATATTAAAGACTCGACTCTTCTTGAAATCGTAGCGTGTTTTTGTTAGTTTGCCATTGCAATGAAACTTGTTCTTCAGGAAATATCAACTCTTGTATTATTACTGCAGCAAACGAGCGGTGTAGCTACTTGATTGTCTGATTTATTATTAGAAGAAAGAAGGTAATGCGAGGCGCATCCAGTGGCGGTGGACAGTTTGCGATACGTCGTCCCCGGTTGAGCGTACACGCGGTTGGATCAGCTCATGATCTTTCGCGTTTAGTTAATTTTGTTATTTGATTTATCTCGATCTTCTTACCCGGGACCCGACGACATCACTGAATGGTTTCGCGGCCTCTTGTAAAATACAAAAACAAAAAAAAAGAAATACACGCGAACACACACACACATACAAAACACGTTTATTAATTAAATAAAAATCACAAGTTTTTAGAACGTCGTTCGTTCATGTAAATCATCCTCGCGATCATGCGTGTTCATGCGTACATGTACGTGGCTCATGTATAATTGTACGAGATATATCCGTCCCAATTCTTTCACAGCACTCTCGCGAATCTTTCTTTCGCAAACAGGCGATGGGAGACGAGTTTGAGGTAAGCGAAACGTTGTCCAATTTAAGAAATTGAATCCCCGCGAGATATCGTAGTCGACGTTGCGAGATTAATGAGCAGACTTTCCGAACTTTTCGTGAAAACTTATTGGCCGCGTTTTCGCGAGACAGAGGGAAACTTTTTCGAACGGGAGTTGTTATACCATCAGACATAGGCGATAACAATATTCTATGCGCTATGAGGAAAGAGTTCCGCAGCCTTTAATCGTTAATACGTCATTTCATTATCATCAGATTAGATGATCTTTACATCATTCATTTTCTCCTCGTGTTATTAAATAATTAATACAGCTAGTGTTTGAATATTAAAACGAATGCTGTACTGTTTTAATACGCTTGCCACAACTGTCGCAAATAAACATTCATTAAAAAACGAGTCGCAGCTAATGGACAACTGAAAGGTGGGTATTGGACATCGAATTTCGCGGTATGGATGCAGAGATTTTAATAAAAAAACAAAAGAGGCAGGGAAACTTTGTTGTCCGATGACTGTGTAGCGACATAAAGGTTGCGAATCCAACAGAATCCGCTATTGAACGAAGCGTGTCATCCTCTCAGCCAATCCACTTATCGCGAGCTGTCAACCAGAGTAACTGATTTCCCGTGCGATTCCATCGTTAATGAGAAACGCCTTGCATCTTCGGTCAACTTACGTCGGTACCTTCGATTTTTCGAACAATTCTGATGCTCTGCAACATGCCAATTTCTACTTTCTACTTAAGCTGTAAATCTCATCTTCGAATTGATTCAAGAACCCTACATCCTCTACAGATAAATAGTTACATCTCATTCGCAGTAAAACTTGTTTTTTTTTTCTTTCAATTAAATTAGCTCTCAAATAAATAGCTTACTAAGTATAGAAAATGCTTGATATCCGCTAATCGAATAAAAAAGAAAATCTTTTAAAGTAGACATTCGATAATTAAATTAAGATTACTTGTATTGGGGTAGGAAAGGGGTTGATCGATTTAAGGGATGGTACGGATGCGACATCTGTAACAAATATAACTGTTATACCGAAAAATTGCAGATCTCTACAATAATAAATATACTACTGTATTACAAAAGCTTAATCATAATAATCCTGGTTTTATTCTGATTAAATATTTATTCATTGAGCGTATAATTTCATGATGCATCTTCAGTACTCAATTTTACCGATGACCAATAAGCAGCATACTAAAGTTGTACTGTAATTAATTATGAACGTTCATTAATTGATTAGCTCATTCTTCATTGCATAAAGTATTATTTACAACGAAATGCATAAGAAGGTGGGCAATGTAGTTTTAAAAATAAATACAGAAAGTTTTCTCATCATATGGATCTCCTCGCTTATCTGGAAAACTTGGAGAGAAGTTTAAGATTCCAATTTGTCAGGAAATTTTTCGTCGACCGAGATTGGATAGATATCGGTAAACGAACATCAATTTTTACATGTAATCGAATCGCAGCGGTATGACTTCTAATAAAATAGAATCGAATGGAACATAGTTCCGCATACGATGCGTTGCGCGTCGCATCGTTTCCTAGGCGCACGGTAAACGAAACTATTGTGCGGCAATAATGCAATTTGAATACATACACAGCGCATAAATGTCGGGCCGAGGCCACTATGCGCTCTATCGAATTATTATACATCCAGGCCGCAGTAATTGGCATCCATTGGTGCTCGCAAATTCAATTGCGCCCTCGTAAACTGACATTGAAGAAACAGGCTAATTCTATCGTCGTCCGTGGCAGAGACAATACTCCCACGTACGAAAAATGCAAACAGGAATTGACGACGTTTGTCAAGCAAACGTGTACTTAACAGATACAAATATTTTTTTATTGATTTTTATTTAGACAAAAGTATCCTCCGTTTAAACAATATTTAATATGTTTCCTATTACTAAATTATTAGTAATCTTTGCAATGTTATGGGATGAAAACAATATGTACGTCTCATTAAGAGAAATGAGTGGAATGACGAGAAGCTTGGAAAAAGCGCGTGGATTAAAAGACGTTTTACAACTTCGGTCGAAACGCCTTAAATTCGTCCCTGACGAGAATGTAAAAGGAGAACAATGGTTGCCGTCCGTTCTGGGAGGACCGCCGCGTCGGCCGAAATAAAACTTTAATAATAACGTAAAAAGCGTACGGTTTAATGGGCAAGCAGACAGCCGTAATACATTATTTTCGAGCCGACACTCTTCTTGCGACGGAATCCCTTTGAGGACGCGCAACTGCTCCAGCTATCTGCGCTTTGTTCCAAGAGGAGATCGCAAAAAGAGCAAACCCGGAGCACGGGGCTTCTGGGGGACAGATCGGGGCTAGAGAGAAGTAGGGGGAGGGCGGGCGAGGGCAGGAGAAGAAACGAAAACAATCGATACCGTCGGAACAGGAAAGCAAGGCCAATCGGCCCGTGCTCTATTCGCGGAGTGGCCAATCAAAATGCCTACTACGTCGCCGGCAGGCCAGCTAATTAGACGCCACGTAAATCAGTCCTGAAACTCAACGTTAATTAACACGGGTTTCAGTTGGAGTTGCTTACCCACCTATTTATCGAACGACACAAGTGCAATATGGTCGAACACGTGCACGTCCGTTAAATGCCTCCTCTCCTCCTGAACGGAGAATGCCGAATACCGCTCTCCGTGCATATGTCTGCGCACTCGTTGCATACGCACACCACCAACCCCCCTTGTGCCAACGCTATTATATCCATAAGTTTATGCCACTTTAAATAAAAGTTGCCGTATAAATAGAATAACACCGGTGTTCGCGCGCGTAACCCTTTCGCGAGGAGCGTCGCGACGCGACACGGCCTGTGACACTCGTTAAAAACGTTAACCACCCCACCAGGGTAAGGAGAACGGTAAACGGGATCTGTCTCTCGTTCGCTTTAATGATCGGGGATTTCTAATAATAGGCATTCGCAGTTTTTCTCGATTGACTGTCGCTAACTCGTTAACGAGACCCTTTAATTACGCCGAATGTTTTGCTATAAATATAATTGCGGAATCGATATCCGAATCACGATGATTTGATGCTGAAATCCGATTTATATTAATTGCGATCATATTGCATGATTTAACGAGAAGGCAAAGAAGAAAGATCTTCCTGCCGCCAAAGAAAAACGTGACAGAAACGAAGAAGAGTTACAATATTTTACTCGTAACAGAGATAATGTGAAAGTTTATCATATCTCCGGGGTTGGATAATTATGGTTGTTTCGAGGAGGAACCGGAGGGAAGGACGCTGTCTTTCGTCAGACGAGGCAATTCGACGAGGCAGCCCGGCTTCTCGAACTTTACCGGTAATTAACAATCGGCCGCGCATAACAAACTGAATTTAATTAATTGCATAACTGCACGGAGGTCCGTCCGTGCTTCTAATCGAACCGGGTACATATTGTTGCAGCCACCCTTCTACCCCTCATCAGCCACCGGCAATTAATTATAGCATTCCGGGTTAGCCGGGGAATTAATTACGTCCAGAAGTTGGACGTTGCCGGGGGATCGTTAGAAATCGTCCTTCGTTAGAGTTAAGCGAGCACCGGCTCCCGCTAGTTATTGATGGTTTCTGGTACCTCATCGGGCCTGATACTGACAGGGCCGGCTGAGTGGCCAGTCCACCACTGCTGCCTGCCGTTGCGTCCATCCACAATTGGACACACTTTGTATTTTAATAAAAACCAACCGATCATGTGATTCTTCCCTTTACGTTGTTCTCATCTCTGCCTGTCGTTTGCCCCTTCGATAAGATGATTCGTTACAGATTGTTATCAAACGAGACGGCGATCATTTTTAAAACACTACCAAAATCCAACTGCTCATTATTGAAGTATATTTAAAACTCGTTCCAAGCCAGTTTCTTTCGTTTCGGAACGACGGAACGTTTCTAGATCTGTAGCGAGCACTGCGAACCGGAAGCGCGCACTAATTAACGATTCATTAAAAGCACGAACGTACGAACGAACGCGATTACAGGCAGCGTGTCCGATCGCCCGGACATCTTCGCTCTTTTCTATCCTTTAACGATGCCCGGTTTCGCCGGGTTGCGTGCAATCCCGTGAAACGAGGGCTAGGACAAAAATAAAAGGAATATATTAAGAGTGTCTCCGAGTGGCGGCGTTCCGCCCGACATGGCAGTCCGTTCGGTCTAATTTCTAATTATTCCGCCGGAGTGGCTCTAATTAGCGTAGCTACGTACAACTGCTTCAGCCGTGTCTGGGGGTGCGGAGCCTAGGTAAATAAGCTCCTCCGGCCTTTTCTCTCCCGCGCGCGCATTCCATTCGCCACGTGTACGTACGCGTATGTGTGCCTGCGATATTCAACGTTCACAGAGAGGATTTTATCGTGCGCATTGTACGCTCGTTGCCTTTGGCACAATAATTAATCCACCTTCGAAACGATACCGCCTGCAAGGGACAACCGATCGAAACGTAACGTCCACGCGTCCCTTCGGACGTACCTGCCTCTTTACGAAAATAGAACCGTGCGTATACACCATCGCAAGCGATACGCGAATCCGAGGATTCGCCTTTTCCTTGCTCTTGCGTTAATTTGTTTTACTCCAACGGATCTCTAATGTTAATGAAAATATATGATAAAAAAAGACAACGATACGATTTTTGCAATAATGATTATTCTTGTAATTAATTAACGCTTGTATTATTGACTGTAAGGTAAATATTGGTTAGATAAGTAGAAAATATCTGATTGAATGAATGTCTTACGATTTTAACAATTGTCCCATGGAAAAATCTTGTTTAATTCTTGCATCCGTGACGGTCGAATGGAAATTCGCCGTTGCTGAAACTTTTGCACTCAATATTCCGGGCGTTCGTTCCGGAATAGCGCGACGATACCTGTTGCAATTACCTTAATAACGCTCGCAGGATCACGGGCGCTCGAAATAATTGAAAGTACAATATTGTGTCGCAATAGCTTCGTGCCGGGGCAAGGGGGAGAGCGGAGGAGGAAAGAGAAAGGGAACGAGTTTCCTGTTTCCGTTAAATTCACAAAGGTTACCGTGTATTTAATTGAAATGGTTGTTGAATACTTCACGAGGCAAAGGAAATCGCGGATATTAATTGCTGGTATTATTGAATCCTTCTTTTTTATTTACGCGTTGCGCTAGTTATAATTAAATCCTGGTGAGCCTGGGTGAAAAGCAGATAAGTAATTTGTTCCTTTTTTTATCTATAATTGAAATAAATTCTTGTACTCGGAACGTTCATGCGTTTATCGTTTATTTATACAAGATACCACATTTAGCATCATTCCACGTTGAAGATAACAGCAAGATAGACATGTTTCTGTTGAGACGAGGGTAAAACAAGCGTGCAAAGAAAGCACGAGGGTGGAGTTTGATACCGAGATGGCGATTATTATTTTGAGCGTTTGGCGACGGGACAACTGGTTATATTTTATTCAAGGCACAATCGTGTAATAGCTCGCTTCTAGCGAGATGGATAGCAGCTTTCGAGGGATGAGGCCTGGTATGTTTAGATGGAAGAGGGTGAGAAGGCTCACCTCGTCTACTATCAAAAGATAAGAATTTAGTGCAAAGGAACAGATAATTTTGCATTAGTGAATTACCTGGAATCTGATGAAAGCAATACGAACTATTTTAGCATTATTGCAATCTGGTTCCTGTTACTGTATAAACAGTAAATAATTATCGGTAAGTATGATTCTAAATTAGTAATACAGACGAAATATGGGAAAATTAAATATTATTTCTTATTATACTGTCGTTAGTATTTTTCTTTATTTTTTAATTTATTTGTTATGCATACTTTTTGATTCAGCTCTGTCGCCTGCTGTCTGCTGCCACCTCTATCAAAGCACGGGAAATCCTCGATGGAATACCGACATACGATCTCCCTCACATTGTTTAAAGAATTTACATAATAACATTTAATGACAGAACATATACAAGTGAATTATATTAATAAATTATAATTATTACAACTTTTATTTGTATTTGTATTTGTATTTTATTTATTGTATGAGAATCATTTTTAAGTGATATTAAACAAATATAACATTTCTGTGTCTCACAATTTATTCACAAACAATTTTTCCGAAATTTTCGAGATTCCCTGCAATTTGAAATTGACAAGTGGCCCCATTTTACAGTGAAAGGGATGAACTTAGAGTCCGGATTTGAAGTCAAATGTTCGACTGGTAGATCACGCTACTAGTGTCTTGGAAAGGAAATCTCAAAATTTACAAATAATAATTCTCTGAATTTGAAAATTATTTTAAAGGATAAGGCCATTTTTTCATGTAATTCGCATTGTTACCCGTTAAATGATCAGAATGGAAGTGCTAGGTGATTGATAAATAAATAGACATGTCTCTAAAAATATCATTGTTTCAACTTTTAAACCAATTGTCCGAGGAGATTCTGGTTAATCGTTGAGACAATGAAAAGGCCCAATGGGGCGCAAACCATAATTGGGAATCGCTCTTTTTAACCGTTTTCGAGACTTTGGAACCAAGCGAAGAACTACGAAGAGTAGAACCTCCTTATCAAATCATATACTGATTAACAAATTCCGATGAATAAATGAATGAAAACGAATACTGGCAGTTTTATTTCACGATCCTTCACCAAATGGCCAATCTTGAAAGTGAATATTTAAGACCGGGAATTATTAATCCTTTCTATCAATAATGTACATGCTAATGAATGTTGAAATGAATTAAGAAAAATGTGTGATTTAATATCGCTGAGTAGATGTCGGCTAAATTCTAATTAATAAATGAACAGAAACGAATCTTGGCATTTTTATGGGTTGACAGCGTTTGCAAAGTCTTTGAGAACGGTACCAAACGAAGAACTACGATCTAGTTTAAGAATATCTGTATTTGTATCCTAAACTGTATTTTACTAATTTAATATAATAAATATAAATGTTGACATAAGGAAAATATCTGATTTAATTTTAATTAAGAAGTGAATAGAAATAAATCTTGGAATTTTTAAACGTTGGCATTTTTATTTTATGACCCTTGTCATCGATTCTGGGAGTGGGTATTTAGGATCGGAAGTCACCCTTTTCTTTCACAACGCAAATTTTTTAACATTCAGAGGAATTTAAAATAAGTGAATGTACAATAGATACATGGATCCTATTAACTGAGTTGAAAATGTGCTGTTTACCCAATGAATAACAAACCAGTCTGACGATGCGATGTTTTATCCGATTTGGAAGTTTTCCGTTCACCGCGACCGAACCATGATTCACACGTTTTCGTATTTATGATTAAAATGATTAGAAGAAAAGTCTATCTCAGAAATCATTCTAAAAAACAGAAATTAACCACTTTTTTATTTTTTCTTGCTCCTGCATCGCCAACACGACTTTTGTGTCAGAGCAAACACGTTTATATTTGTTAATCCATTACTAAACGGGTTAAATGAAAGGTGTTTTACGAAAATGAAAAAGGGACCAGTACACGTTAGACTGCGCAACGATTTCCATATTCTGTGAAAGACCAGCTGTCCGGCCGGTATGGAAGAGCACACGATTCAAATTAATATTGCAGAGCCGTATGGAAATTTTCTTACCCATCCACTATCTATAAGTGATTCTCGTTATAAAACCTTACCCTTCAATCTCATTGCTAATTAGAACGGTTAAATATTCATTTAATGACTGGAGACAGTCAGGCTTCTTTACTCAAGGGATGTATGTAATCTTTAACTACTTTTAATCATTTTAGTCGGTTCGTGGACATGAACACTTGCGGAGTACGACATACGTGACAAGAAGTAAATTTTTTAATTGAATCATTCTGCCGCCGTGTTATAGCATAAAGCGTTAAAGGATATAAAATTCTATATTCCACGAATTTATGAGTTAAAATCATTATTTTATTATGAATCGATGCACAATAGAAGATCAATGGCTCAGGGATTCCAAATTTTTTGGTCGACTTGTTGGTATATGGCCAGAACAGGATAGATCCATAAAATTCGCGATAAGAATTATCCTGACTTTTGTTGTCACGATTAGCAACCTAGCTCAGGTAATGATACAGTCGTAATCGTCAGGTAATGGTACAGATTGATCCTCGGCCTTATAAAATCCCTTACGAAATTCTTTATGCATTCATTTTCAATCGTAGATAGCACAGATAGTGGTATTTTTTAGTTTCGATGTTCTGACAGACCAGATGCCATTCCTGTTGCTAGGAATAGCCATCTACATTAAATACTATAATTATATTTTAAACGAGAAGAAGGTAAGATACGTTTCGGAATTTTCCTCTCAATTTTCACATTGAACAATTAGTGTCGATGTCTACGTACGTCTAACTAGTATGAAAATTGAAGCTACAGGAACTTTTGAATGGCATCGTGTCCGATTGGCAGACGGAACGAACGAAAGAGGAATTACAAATTTTACATACGTATTCCGAAAGGGGCTTGTTTTTCAATTCCATTTACAAAGGTACACAAAAGATAGACGAAATATTATATTTTCTTTGACATCATGTTTCACAATCTTTCTTAGTGTTATAGAAAAGATGTATACTGTAGAAGTACGTAATGTAGATATAAAAAAAACGTATTACGTGTTTTTCAGGCAGCATATGTTCCTCTGTGATCGCTTTCATTCTTTTGCCAGCTGTGCCAACCGTTTTGGACATTTTTGCGCCCCTGAATGTGTCCCGGGATCGTCTGCTCGTTTACCCGTCTTACTACTTTGTGAACCAGGAACAGTATTATTATCCAATACTGGGACATATGATGGTATGCGCCTGCATACTTGGTTGCACTTTCGTCGCGTGCGATGTTAATTTGATCCAAATCGTCCAACATGGCTGCGGTTTGATAGCGATTAGTGGGTGAGCATAGCACTGATTTTTGCCTTCTCCCTTCAGTGCGACAGAATCGAAATCATAAATGATTTACAAAACATTTAAAACCAGTGCAACATGTTCGCGAACTACTGTTGTCTAAATAGTAATTTTATATTTATATTAAAAATGTAATGAAGAATGTACACAGGTATCGTTTCAAACATGCGATCGACAGCGTAAATTTACATGAAGAAAAGCGAAACGATACTTTAAGCAACGAAACATACAAGAAGGTAACGCGATGCATTGAAGCTCATAAAAGAGCCGACGAGTGAGTATTTCTCCAATTGATTCTATGCGATTTACGAATGGCGCAATTAATAACTAACTTTATACTTACGTTAATTTTCATCACAAACGTGATCTTAGATACGTGAAGGCAATCGAAGCCTGTCACGTGCATTATATTCTCGTAACTGCTGCATTCATTGTCATGGTGTTCACGGTCACTTTAATAAAGGCAAGCCATCACGCTACAGTAACGCTATGTTATCTAATAATTGATTAGACTATAATATCTATAGTTTAGCGGTGAAAAATTTTTTTTTAATTCAGTTAGCGTCGGAAGAAATTGGAACGAAATATTTTACGTTCTGCGCGTTCATCGTGGCACAACTGGTTCACGTACTTTTCTTGACAATGATGGGACAGTTCATAATCGATTCCAATGAAGAGGCTTTTCGTGAAATGTGAGGGAAATGTAGAGTTTGGTAGTGAGTGTGAAGACTGACAATCACATGTTAATTGTTTGGTCTTCACAAAATAAAACTCAAGGTTGATTAAAAAGTAACTTTTATTAAAAGATATATACCAGCATGTAATATTGCGATTCTCAGGCTTGAGTGCAATAATGCGAATCGATTAACTAAATAGGTATCAAATTGAAAACTTATTCTACTTATGTATTGAAATTGCAGATACGAAGCATACTGGTACAATGCTCCAGCCAACACGCAAGCATTGTACATACTAGTACTGAGAAAATGTTTGAAACCGCCCCAACTAACGGGGGGTGGAATGATACCGTTAAATTTGGACTCTTTCGTACAAGTAAGTTGATCAACTTTCCACGATCGAGAAAATGTTATTGAATAAATTTTTCAGATATTGAAAGCGTCATTGTCGTACTATACAGTGTTGAAGAGCTCATCAATTCAGGAGGAGGATCGAAGTACGTCCTGATTACTAATTTCTTTTCATGCAAATTTTGTTTGTATTCAACATTTTGTATCTAATTATACACATATAATATAATTATATTATATATGTATAATATAATAAATAATTATACATATATAATTTAATTATAATTATATATTATAATGCATATTGAATCCATTGTTCAATTGTGTCCACTTAATCCGAAGACGTTAAACGTTTTAATAAAGATAAACTCCTTTGAGTCGTATTTGCAATTTGTTTCTTTTGTTGAGTTTAGGAAAACTGATATCCTTTTTCTAATACCACTGATTTTTACTTAACTGTCAAGTATAATCATGTTGACTCGTTGAGTAGTACCACAGCCAATTTATTCCTCTCTTTGAATTAGAGTATCGTAATAACAGCAACATCAATCAATGTCATCTAACTGCACCAGCATCTGGAACAAGGAGAACAACAAATTTTTAACACAATGCAAATATTCACATCTCTGTTGCATTTTTTAAGCTGCACTTTTCCATTAGAACAGTTCAAGCAAACGGTTTCACTGAGATGCGGTAGGAACCTTCACATGATCAGACTACATTATGTGAAAGACCAGTTGCTTGACGTACTACTGGCGGTTCTAGATAATTTTTAATTATTTCTAGTTATTTCAGTTGATTCGTAAACTTGATTATTTGTAGAGTACGATATTTATCTTAATTTTTAATGGTTACAAATATTGCCACCTCACTTTTTCACGCTTACTGAATATTACACTTTTCTATTAGAATACTTTAAGCTTGAACATACAGTATCTCACTTAAATACGGACAAGACTTCCGTATGCCATCAGCATTATGCGAAAAACCAGCTGTCTGAAAATCTACACAACTAGAAGCCATACCATCCTCAATTAATTCTTCAGATATCAATAAATATTCGTTCGTACTTAAGTAGATAGCAAAGACCCATAAATTATTATTGCTTTAAAAGGCAAATTAAAGCCGTATTTAATAGCGGCGCTTACAAACGTAAAGGGATGAAAAGAATTGGGATACCATAAAATTCAATGCGCATTAGCTACTTATTAAAACGCTCGTGTTTGCCCATTAATTATTCAATGCCGTAAATGCTCGTAGATGCTCACGGTAAGTACTCGAGGTAGATATACCTCATTATCATTGCAGCGGTTTGTTTGACCATCAATGATCATTAACTCGATTTGTCGTGGATATGAACAGCTCTGGAGATCGATACGTGACTCTTTCTCTACGCGGATATCTCTAATAGTCGTTCAATCAACGCATTCTTAACCAGTTCTAAAGAAAAACGTGTCAGAAGGACGATAAACACTAGTTAACATTTACGTGATTATGGATTTCGAAACGATTGAGAATCAGTACCTCGCTGATAATAAATTTTATGGGCAGCTGATCGGTGTCTGGCCTGGTCAGAAAAAACTTGCCAAATATAGCATACGATTATTCATATTTATTGTCGTGATGGCTGCCAATATTGCGCAGGTAAAAGTTTCGTTACACCAATTACAATACAAATACTTTGTTCTATTAGATAATAATCGTTTATGGAATATTTGCATAATATAATTAAAGAAGACTATTTTATTGATTAAATAAAGATAAAATCTGCGTCCTCAGATATTGCAGGTGGTACTATTCTTCAGCGTGGACATATTGACAGATCAGCTACTATTTCTGATGTTGGGGTTCGGCTTATTCTTGAAACAATATAATTATGTCCTGAACGAAAACATAGTAAGAAATGAGCGTGTGCATGGATCGTGTGCCAAAGTTGTTAAGTTTTATGAAATTGTAGCTGAAGGAACTTTTGAACGGCATTGTGTATGATCGAATGATCGAACGACCACAGGAGGAGTTAAAGATTTTGGACGTGCATAGCAAAAGAGCGATACTCTTCACAATTGTTTACAAAAGTAACGAACAGTGCGCATAGTAGGCCTATATAGGAACATAATTTATTTTCACATTATTATTGCATAAAATAAAGTTCTGCCTCCTTCCAGCTGCAGCAGTGTCAACCGTTTTAATAATGGTTCTTTTACCAACTGTACCACCCATTCTAGATATTATCAGGCCCCTAAACGTATCAAGGGAACGAGTGACTATCTATCCGGCCTACTATTTCGTAGATACTCAAGAATATTATTATCTGATACTAGGTCACATGCTAATTTGCTCTTTTATACTATCTATGGTATTTATAGCGTGCGATATCAATTTGGTCCACGTTGTTCAACACGGTTGCGCCTTGCTGGCCATAAGCGGGTAAGCGCAAGTTCTACAATATCTCAATTGGCTTATTATTATAATTATGGCCGTTGTTTCTCTCATTTGCTTAACTGTTACTGCTCTCTTTAGCTGTTGTACGTCCCTAAACGTTTTTACTTTTAGCTTATCGTGCACACAAGATAACATAGAATACGATACTGTTTATTTAATAAAAATGAACGCAGGTACCGTCTCAAACACGCGATGGACGGAGTAGATTTCCTGGACGAAAAATTCACCGGTGGGATGAGTGACAAAAGTTTCGCGAAAGTGACCCAAGCGATCATATCCCACAAAAGAGCCGACGAGTCAGTATAAAAAAATATTTTTGCTCTTAATTTATTCAGAAATCGGTTGTTCACTTATTTACTTTTTTACGTACCATCAGGTACGTAAAGAACATAGACATCTGTCATATATATTACTTGGCCATCGTTATCATAATGATAACCGTGGCATTCACGGCTACTTTCGTAAAGGCAAGTTATTAATCATATTATCAAATCATGTACCGATTTATTTTGATCCATTATTTATTTCGAATTATTTTCGATTGACACGAAAGTTGGACGGAAATGATATCGCAATACACTAAATGATTTTTCGATGATTAGTTGACGACACTTGAGATGGGAACGCAGTACCTAACATACGTCATTTTCGTCATCGGTGAATTAATTCACGTCTTGTTCCTAACGATCATGGGACAGTTCACCTCAGACAGGAGCGACGAGGTCTTCCAGAAAACGTAAAGCGATTATCATAATAAATACAAGTTGTTGCACTACATTATAAACGTTGTTCTCATAGTTATTTTGGAAGAACTCAGTGCACTTTGCATTATAGATGCGAGGCACAGTGGTACAACGGCTCGGTAAGGACGCAAGCATTGTATGTGTTGGTGCTACGAAAAAACCTGAATCCACAAAAATTAACGGGCGGGGGATTGTTCCCACTAAATTTGGACATCTTTATACAAGTCGGTCGTTCACTCCCGCAAACTTACTACAAGGGAAAACTAGATGAACAATCGAGTTTTTTTCTTTTTTCAGATACTGAAAGCATCGTTCTCGTACTACACAGTATTGAAGACTGCGTGAGAAGCGATGGTAGTTGAAATCACAATGTTAACATTGCACTATTGTTTGGTTAGTGTTACCACTGTTGTTGACCACTGATATTGTTGATGCTCCTCAATATTGACATGCAATATTAACAAGCGGAGAGTTTCTTTCATGTTCTTTTCTTTTTGTACCCGTCTCCTTAACCATAATCACAAACCTTGTTAAACTTACCATAATCACAAAATGTATCAACAATGATAGTTTAAATATTAAATATAACAAATTCGTTGGACAGATAAGAGAGACGCGAAGCATAGTGGCATAATGTTTCAGCGAAGGCGTAAGTATAGTACTTATAATATGTTGGTGCTGTAAAAATATTCAAAGTTGACTAAATTAGCGGGGGGTAGTATAATGCCGATCGGACTACTTCGAGAACTACTTGTAAGTTGCACACTAATTTCGCACGATTAATAAAACAGAATGAACTTTTCGATTGTTGTTCTCATATTACACATTATGACGAGTAAAAAAACAGATTTTTGTTTTTTGCTTAAAATCCTGTCTCAATGGAGCCGCCTGTTGTATGAGAACAGTTTTGTAAGAAATACGATCTCCGGCTACTGTTTTCTATTTCCATGATAGAATATATATGTATGTATACTTCCTTTCAATAGGGTTGCTTGTAGTTTCGCACATTTTCTCACCTGTATATTGTACAACTACGAAGTATCATTTTGTTCATTCATTAATGTGTATGTCCTCTTCATCGCGAAATTTTATCCAAGCGTTTAATGGAATAACAAATATTGTCACCTCCATCACTTTTTCGAATATTACACTCTTCTATTAGAATACTTAAAGCTTGAACATACAGTACTTTACTTAAGGATGTATTGGCTATACAGTCAATCCCAAAAGTTTATGCACTTTAGAA